CATTGGGGAAATTTTGCGCCCTCCTTTTTTTCTTCAAAGTCTTTACCAAATTAGCAGTCAAAGTTGCTCCTGTTGGTTTTGTATCTGTTGCCTTCATAAACCTTCCACAGCTGTTAGGTGGGTCTTTTCATGCCATGCACCCTTCTTTCTTAGCCCATCCCATGAACCTGTCTAAACTGGACCCTCATTTCAAGTTCTGATACCTTTGTGAAACCATCTCTGGTTACTCCAAGCTTCAGTGGGAAATTGTAGCCAGCCTCTGCCCTGGTGGGTTCTGCATCCTTGTATTCAACCACCTGTAGATAGAAAACATTCACAAGAAAAAACTTGCACCTGTACTGAACATACACAGATGTTTTTCTTGCTATGATTCCCTGAAAAACAATATATAAGAATGGTGTTTACACTGTATTAGGTATTATAAGTAATCCAGAGATGAGTTAGAGTATACAGAAGGTTATACGTAGGTTCTATACAAATGCTATTCCATTCCATGTGAGGGACTTGAGCATCCACGGGTTTTGGTACCCCTGGAAAGTCCTGGAATCAACCCCCTGTAGGTGTGGAGGGACATCCACACTCTTGTCTGAACTTCTAGTGGATTTCTTATCTATGTTACTGCGTTAGCATGGAAATTAACAACCTTGGCTCATCTGTATATGAGAACTCTCCTGCTAGCAGCATCTGATAGTGGGTGGGCACTAAAAATCATTGAGAATTTTTTTCACCCTAATGTTCAAGATGGGGCTGCAGGAGACAGCCGAACCTATGTAAGCAACAGACAAACAGCAAGCAGCCTACTTGGAACTGTTTCAAATTCCTGAGGCTGACTAGGAGTTGGTGTAACTGCAAGTATTTTTCAAGCAACTCCTCTAGACGAGGCGTTGTACTAGATGCCGGCCACAAAAGGACCAGGATGTCAATCAAGCCTGCTTTCAAGAAGGATACACTGCCAGCGCCGCGGCTCACTAGGCTAATCCTCCGTCTCACGGTGCCGGCACACCGGGTTCTAGTCCCGGTCGGGGTGCCGGATTCTGTCCCGGTTGCCCCTCTTCCAGGCCAGCTCTCTGCTGTGGCCCGGGAGTGCAGTGGAGGATGGCCCAAGTGCTTGGGCCCTGCACCCCATGGGAGACCAGGAAAAGCACCTGGCTCCTGCCATTGGATCAGTGCAGTGCGCCGGCTGCAGTGGCCATTGGAGGGTGAACCAACGGCAAAGGAAGACCTTTCTCTCTGTCTCTCTCTCTCACTGTCCACTCTGCCTGTCGGATAGTAACAAAAAAAAATAAACAACGGAAGAAAGAAGCGACGAGGATGAGGAGTACGCTAACACATTAACAGAACATGCAGGGCTGTGTGGAACGCTGACCTGGGAGGCCAGGAAAGTAGACGGAGAGAGGCTCAGTGCTGGAATGTGAAGAAGGAGCAGAAGTTGCCCAAGCCAGCGTGTGTGAGCAGCGGGTAGCGGACAGGAAGAATACTCCAGGCAGAAAGCACAGCGTGTGCAAGGTCCAGGGGGAAGCAAGGGATGGTTGATTGAAAGTAGGGAAGTTTGGCTTGGCTGGAACACAGTGCAAGACACAGAACAGCGAGAGATGAGGTTGCAGGCATCATCAGGGATTACGGAAGATAAATGTTTGTAAAGGCACCGAGGAGCCTTGTGATGGTTTTCACGAGCAGGCCGACTCAGTCAGAGTTGTGTTTTAGGAATACCACTTTGGCTGCACTAACGAACACAGCGTGAGGAGAGGGAAGAATGAGGGTGGGAAGGCCAGTCAGGCAGCTGATAGGGTGATGACAAGCTCACCACGGTAGCGCTGAGAAAAGTGGATCCATTTCAGGCAACGTTTAAGGAGCAGACTGATAACTAAAGGGAAGTGGGGAGTGAGGGAGAGCAAAGAAGGAAATCAGGAGGAGCATGTTAGTGTGGAGAGGAAGAGAACGAGTTGCATCAGTGATGTGTAGCCCGGCCCGCCCATGTGGAGACATCTTGGAAGTTGTGGATGTTGACCTGAGACTCAGGAGAGGAAACTCAGCCAGAGACATAACTTTGGGACTCAACAAAGTAAGGGGGGATGAGGAAAGGCATTTAAGTCCAAACAGGGGCCGCGCTGTGGCGCAGCAGGTTAATGCCCTGGCCTGAAGTGCCAGCATCCCATATGGGCGCAGGTTTGAGACCCGGCTGCTCCACTTCCCATCCAGTCCTCTGCTGTGGCCTGGGAAAGCAGTAGAAATGGCCCAAGTGTTTGGGCCCCTGCACCCACGTGGGAGACCTAGAAGAAGCTCCTGGCTCCTGGCTTTGGGTGGGCACAGTTCTGGCTGTTGCGGCCAATTGGGGAGTGAACCATCGGATGGAGACCTCTCTCTCTCTCTCTGTGTGTAACTCTGACTTTCAAGTAAAAAATAAATAAATCTTAAAAAAAAAAAAAAGTCCAAACAGACCACCAGAGGACAGAGAGTATAGAGCTAGAGAAGACCATGTGTAAGCCTGAAGAACAAGTATGCTTAAAGGATAAGCAAGAGGACTGCACACACACACACAAACAACCCGAGAAATGGTCAAGAGGCTGGCAGAAATCCAAGAGAATATGGCATTGCCAAAGTCAGATCGGTTGCAAGAAAAAGGCCTGGATTTATTGATGAGAAGGTGTTAGTGTCTGCTTTTATCATGGTGTGAACAGTACAGTGACGCATGTCTCGAATTTTTTGGTCACACAGATTCTTGTAGACTGGGCCTAGCATTTTGGCCTAGCTTGGATTCAAGTCGTGGATCTGCTCCTGATTCTAGGTTCTCACTAATGCATACCCTACAAGGCATCAGATAATGGCTCAAGTACACGGGTCCCTGCCATGGAGGTGGAAGATCTGGATTGAGTTCTTAGCTCTGGCTTGCTCCAGCCACAGCGGTTGTGGGCATTTGGTGAGGGAACCAGTGGATGGCAGCTCTCTTTCTACCTCTCACACAAAATAAATTAATTTTTAAAATTCTTATGTATTCTTAGAAATTACCAGGCACCCAAAACAGCTTTTTCCCCCTCTTTTCCTTTTTCCAAAACAGCTATTTATAATTGTGGTTATATGGTTAATATTTCCTTAATATGAATTAATTTATTTAAATATAATAAACCTATTATTAGTTAATAGAAAAATTTTAAAAGATTTATATATTTGAAAAGCAGAGTTACAGAGAGAGAGAGAGACAGAGATCTTCCATCCATTGGTTCACTCCCCAAATGGTCAGGGGCCCAAGTGCTTGGGCCATCCTCTGCTGCTTTCCCAGGCATATTAGCAGGGAGCTGGATCAGAAGAGGAGCAGTGGAACTCAAACCGGTGCCCATATGGGATGCTGCCATCCCAGGCAACAGCTTTACCCACTACACCACAATGCCCAGCCCCAGTTAATAGAAATCTTATGAAAAGAACAAAGACAAAAAAACTTAATAGGAAGACTGGCATTGATCTACATTTTATCGAATGTATTTAACATTAGGTTTAATAGAAAACAGCTGAATTCTTCTAGCTGGTTCTGCCTTCAATCTGGCCATCACATATTGTTTAGCCTCAGGAAAATTCCATTGTATTATCCTGAGAGAAAAAGCATGAAAAAAGTAAATAGTATGTTGAATAATTGTGGAAACAGTTTGACCTTCTAAGCCCCCTAACAGGTTCTCAGGGCTCTGAGGATCACACTTTCAGAGCAGGAGAGTCTGCCAACACCCTGAATCTCAGAGATAAGAATATTATTTAATACTATTTTAACTCCTCACAACTATTTATTTGTGCGGGTCAGATTTTTTTGGAATGGTTCAACCAAATCAAATACAGAAATAATTCGTGCTCCTAAACAATCACTGTGTCAAACAAGAATTGCAAAGAGAAATGAAATCAAAATGGCAGCGCTGTAAAAAGCCGTTGCAAGAGAAAAGCTTACAGGCAACAAATGCCTGTTTCAAAAGAGATCTCAAGCAGTCCAACATTACAATTAAAGAAAGAAGAACCAACCGGAAGCTAAAGTCAATTTATAGAAGCTAAACCAAGCTAATCAACATGCATTACCTCACATACTTAGCAACGTCTTATGCTTATTGTGATGCCACAAGCAAAAGTAACCCTGAGGGGCTGGATTTAGTTTTCAAGGCTAAAATGAATGGACTTCAGAATGTTCATTCATTCCACAGATCTGCAGCACTCAGTGTGTGCCAGGAAGTCCTCCCAACACTCAGGGTATTAATGATAAACCACACAGACAAAAATTCTCTGAGGACTCTCTTTGGGGGAGATCAGGCAGGGAATAAACTGGTAAAACACACCCAATAGCTGGACTGAAAATACACCTGATCTACCCCAAGTCTACACCTCCAAGATGACGTAACTCGCGAGGGGAACTCTAACAGCAAGTCAGGAAGTCTAATGCACTTTAACTCCTTTCATCGGCCTAACACTTCCCAGCAGGTGCTATTCCAAGAAGTACTGTGTTTCTCTCTCTCTCTCTCTCTCTCTCTCTCTCTGCAGGTGCTATTCCAAGAAGTACTGTGTTTCTCTCTCTCTCTCTCTCTCTCTCTCTCTCTGCAGGTGCTATTCCAAGAAGTACTGTGTTTCTCTCTCTCTCTCTCTCTCTCTCTCTCTCTCTCTCTCTCTCTCGGATTGGGGCTAGGTCGGACCTAAATTTAAGATAATCTGCTCCAAGCACGACACTCTTCCCTCCGCAGCGCTGAAATATAACAGCTCCCTCCCCTCCCGTCTCCTTTCTTTCCCAGTTAGTTGCAGGCTCCTATTAGGGCTGAGGGAGCAGACAGGGATCCGAGCCGGCCGGGAAGCCGGCGAAGCCACACGGGGCGCGCCCGGAGCTCTGCGCCTGCGCAAGGGAGCAACACGCCACCCGGAAAGAGGCCGCGGACTCCCGTGGTGCGCAGGCGCAGATTCACACCAAGGCGGAACTGGGACGTCCCGGGCTCGGGCAACCTAAACAGCCGGGGGTAAGAGGAAGGTGGCGGCCGCGGGGCAGTGCGCATGCGCGGGCCGCCGTCCCTGGTGAAGTGAGAGGCGGACCGGGGCGGCCAAGCAGGGCTCGGAGCAGGATCAGGATGGACGAGGACGTGCTGACCACCCTGAAGATCCTCATCATCGGCGAGAGCGGAGTCGGCAAGTCCAGGTGAGGGGTCTGCGGGCCGCGACGGGGGGCGGGGAGGGGCTGCGGCTGCCTCCCGGGCCGCCACGGGGACGGTAAACGGCGGTGGCGGCGGCGCTCCGGCCGGCTCCAGGCCTCCGGGCCGCGCGCGCCGCACCCGAGGCTGCCGGGCCCGAGGCCCCGGGCCGCTCTCCCCTGCTGTCGGTCGCACCGAGAGCAGAACCGCTCCGGGGCTGCTCTGGGCCGGCGGGGCGGGCGGGCGCGGGCCCGGGGCCGGGGTCGGGGCCGGGCGCGGCCGAGGGCGACGCCTCGGCCCGGGGCTCTCGGAGACGAGGATCCCGGCTCCCGGGGGTGGCGAGCTGTGGGACTCGACCCCCGGGGCTTCTGTGGGCCCCTCTGGAGATGCGCAGCGCTCCACGCAGGAGCTTTCCCGGAGCCGTAGGTCACATTCCTGGCCTGCGTTCTGGCGCAGCCCTTTGTCGCTTCTTTGCTGTGAAAGCAAGCAGCCCTGGCGAGGAGTTGAGAGAGCGCTTTGGTGTCGGGGGTCTCGAAGGCCCGGTAGGAGCTTGTGGGGTCGTTGCTGCCTTGGGTTATTTCGCTGGGGGCAGATAGTAAACACTGACAGTGGATGGAGTTGAGGATGAGGTGTGGCGGGTGCTGGGCAGGTGCGGTGTGGGGGGAGCGGGGCAGGTGCGGTGTGGGGGGAGCGGGGCAGGTGCGGTGTTGGGGGAGCGGGGCAGGTGAGGTGTGGGGGGAGCGGGGCAGGTGCGGTGTGGCGGGGAGCGGGGCAGGTGCGGTGTGGGGGGAGCGGGGCAGGTGCGGTGTGGCGGGTGCGGGGCAGGTGAGGTGTGGGGGGAGCGGGGCAGGTGCGGTGTGGGGGGAGCGGGGCAGGTGCGGTGTGGGGGGAGCGGGGCAGGTGCGGTGTGGGGGGAGCGGGGCAGGTGCGGTGTGGCGGGGAGCGGGGCAGGTGCGGTGTGGGGGGAGCGGGGCAGGTGCGGTGTGGGGGGAGCGGGGCAGGTGCGGTGTGGGGGGGTGCTGGGCAGGTGCGGTGTGGGGGGAGCGGGGCCGGTGCGGTGTTGCTGGCGGGCTGTGGATTCTTACAGGTCTGGGGACAAAGTTCTGCGGGTGAAGTCAACCCTTGCCAGCTGATCAGGTGCTAGCGCAGCCCGGGTTTTAAACCATCAACTCCAGGGGTTGGTAGGCAGTTTCCTGCCCTAGCGCTGCCTCCTGGAATTCGTATTCCGGAAATCTTTTAGGATGCCCAAGAGTTCGAAGGCTTCATATGTGTGGTATGTGCGGAAGTCACGGATTTTTTTCAAGTTTGGCACTCCAACTAGGTAGTTTTTCTCACTTAACATACTCTCTACTGGAGTGAGGGCTTTGTACATACGGAAGGATGGATCAAGGGAACACTCTGGATTCGCAAAATCCTTGGAGAGAGAGAGAGAGTCTGTTTCAAAGGCTGAATAAAATTATTAAAATTACTGTGTTTACCGTCTGTCATTGCATGTATTCAAAGGATTAAAAAATTGAAGATTGTCCCAGTAGCAGCTCCGTAGCTGTGACCTTTATTTTCGTCTTTTTCTCTTTGAGGTGTGACCCCAGTTAAGGCATTTGCAGTTGCTGTTCTCGAAGTCAAGAACGGTCCGTTGTCATTTCACGTGGGTCAACCCAATACGTGTGTTGAATGGAGCTAAGGTGTCCTAGCGTTGTCTGGAAGGTTAACCAGAGGTTAGTTAGCTGAAATAGGCCATTAAGATTCCCTTTTTAGAACATGGTCTGTTAAGTGGGTTTATTGGTCTCCCTAGTTCACACCCATCCCCCACCCATATGAATTTATTTGAGCCTAAGTTGCTTTAGATTTTTTTTCTCTACAAGTATACTTAATGGTGAATTATTAACCACTCCCTGCAAAATTTTAACACTTTCTTTCATTAAAGGTTTGCATCTAGGGAGAAAGTTGTCTTACTGTTAGAGGTAGATACACATTACTGGTCTGTGTGATGTGCTATGGAAAATGACCTGAACGGTGATCTTTCAGTGTTACTGAAGTAGAAGTCTGTAGCTTTTCAGGTGAGTTTAGTGCAAAAACATTTGTCATGGACGTGATCTTAAAGGGCTGTTCTAACGAATGTATTATTTATGCCTCTATGTCCAGCTAGTGGAAGTGAGATAGCCCTTTGTTGAGGAATCATTGTGCAACAAAGGAAATTTTAATCCAAATTAGTGGCTACTTTCCAGTGTATTTCCTCCTGTTGGAGTATAAAGGGTATGTCAGAGTAGCCGGGAGATCAGGATTATGAAACTGGTGTGACCTTGTGTTTGATACTTGACATCTCTAGGCCTTCATTTGGAAAGTGAGGGGGTTGGGAGAGAAACTTCTCAAACTGTTGTTAATTGTTTAGGACTGACTCTGGTTAGGCCTGATGAAGTGAAGATGTAGCAAGGTGTATCAAGCATTGCCAGTCTCAGAGGCTGTCCATTTGCATTCTGTTTGATGCAATTCATTTGTAAATTGGGAAATGCAGATAAGTTATAGTTGCTTTGTTTCTTTAATTTGGTTTTAGTGGCCTGGTGGAAGTTACTCCTTCCACTATAGCACTGCATCGTGAGACTTTTGCACTTTGGAAACAGGAAGGTTGTGAAGATAGAATGTAAGTGCAGTGGCTCTTAAACATTTGGGGGTTTTGAGTTTGTTTCAGAAGCCGGTAGGGATGTGGACTCTGTAGGGAAGTACATGCATAGACCTTAGAAAAACATTTGAGGCTATAGCGTGCCTCTGGCTAGGGTCGGACTTAGAGCCCGTATGAAAATGGGTTGTTTGACACCACTACCAGTTCCCTGCCTTCCCTGTCGGAGTGCCGTTAGCGAACACAGGCTGTGATGAGGATTAGCAGTGATGGAGGAGGAATCCCTGGCTCGGTCTCTGGTCTGGGCCACACTGTAATGGCCACACCACCATTATTACTAGCCTTACTTTCGTGGTGGTGCTATTGTTCCCATTACTTTGCAAGGTTATTTTAACCTGTGTTTTTGCAGTACTGTTCTGGGTGGTGACCAAGTATGGAAACATACCTTTTCGAGTCTTAAATTATGGGTGACTGCGGTTGTTGGGAGAGAAGAAAATTATATATATAGATATATATCCTCTTTCAGACTTACTAGTGCTGGCACATGACTCATGTTGGTAGTCAGTAAAAATAGTTATAGTTAAAATGTTAGGTAAAAAAAAAATCTAGAATTTGACTCTAGTTTTACCTGTGATTCTGTGGTGTCTGTTTTATGGTAGACACAAGAAATCAGCTGAAAAATAAGAGTTCACTCTTCAGATATAATTGACAATGGGTTTGGAAATGACCAGTGAGCCATTCTGTTTTGCAGTATACTCTGGACAAAAATATCTTCAGTAGTTGGGGGCCAGCGCTGTGGCTTACTTGGTTAATCCTCCACCTGCAGCGCCGGCATCCCATATGGGTGCCGGGTTCTAGTCCCGGTTGCCCCTCTTCCAGTCCAGCTCTCTGCTGTGGCCCAGGAGTGCAGTGGAGGATGGCCCAAGTGCTTGGGCCCTGCACCCCATGGGAGACCAGGAGAAGCACCTGGCTCCTGGCTTCGGATCAGCGCGGTGTGGCGGCTGCAGCAGCCATTTGGGGGGTGAACCAACGGAAAGGAAGACCTTTCTCTCTGTCTCTCTCTCACTCTCTATCTGTCAAATAAATAAAATTAAAAAAAAAAATATCTTCAGTAGCGATAATCACAGAGCTTTTCTGCAGTTCAGATATCTGACAGCTGTTTTCTCGATAGGAATTAACACGAGGGGAGATTGATTAATTTTGTAAAGCCAGATCTGTAGCAAAGGCTTCAGCTTCCCTTCCGAAGAGCTTCTAATTACTGACAGTTCTGTGTCACAGTAGGTAAGATAGGAAACATAGTTTTAGAGTCCCCTTCTAACCTGGAATCTTCTGCTCCTGTCCATTCCTTTCTCGCTTCTTTGTACTTGTTGGGTTTAGTCCTTGCTCTGCCACCATGACGATGGCAGTTGTCTTGATTTGCTTGTCCTTTTTGGCTGGCATTCACTTTTCAGAACGTATCTTGTCACTCCTTTCTCTCAGTCTCCCTAGCTCCCTGTTCACCCTCCCTAGCACTTGCCTGAGTATGTTTACTCTGGCTGTCATGGGCTCCTTCTACCCTCTCCCTCCCTGCCCTTCCCTCCCTCTGAGGCAGTAGGCAAACTGCTTGTTAGAAAATGCTACCCACAAACCTTTCTGTTCTTGCTTGAATTCAGAGTGTATTATGTGTCACATTTTTAAAAAATTGATTTGTTGTGTTCCAAGATTGTTTCCCCTTGCATCCAAATCAGTTTAAACATTCTATGTTGCTGCTGTTACTCTCTCAGAAAGACATTCCAGTACAGTTAAAACAACACAGAAACCACCTTTTCCCATTTCAGTATTGTGTGGGGGAACGTCGGGGTAATATTTAGTGGTAAACTGCTTTGTTCTTAGGATTTTTAAGTTGCCAGTAATTTAATTTCTTATCTACTGCACTGAGGCAGAGTTCCTGGGAACAGGCCCTCATCAGCACTCTGCATCTAGTAGTTTGTAACAAAACATAACAATCTGGTGTGAACACATTTGTCCTGCCATTGGAAGTAAAAGTCAAATTCCTGATGTATCTTTTTCGTATCTCTTTTAGCCTGCTGTTGAGGTTCACAGATGATACTTTTGATCCAGAGCTCGCAGCAACTATAGGTAAGCCTGTGTTTAAAAACTCACTGGAAGTGCTGAAGAGTTTCTTGCCTTTGGGCTGTTCTGTGTAAATTGCCATGCCCTTTCCTCTCATCCCACTGCTTGCATTGTCCTTGGGAATCAGTAAATCTCTGGAGCCTTCCTAGAGCTCACGCCCGTTACGTGTTGTCTGGTGGCATTTGGTATTACTGCTGGTAGTGTGATTCTCTGCATACACATTTCTCCCCTGTGTGCACATTATCTTTCATTTTGCAACACACCACAGTCTTTGAGTATCTGTTGCATGCAGGCGCCAACCCGAGCGGTGGGGCTGTAAGGATGAATAGTACAAACTTGGTCTCTGTCATCATGGACGTAACAGCAGTGTGTTCATGTTTAGCATTTGCTACAGTGTTTGGAATCATTCTGATTTCTTAATTTTTGATTGGTTATAAAGATTATTAGGAGCAGTGACACCTAAATGCCGTTTTAAAATAACATGTGAGATAGGCTTAATGGAGTACATGAGACATCAGAGATACATGTTGAGACATAGAGATACATGTTTTGACATCATGAGTTAAGGGAGTAGACCATGATTTAAAGGCATCAAGAGACAGTGAGGAATAGTTGTTTGATAGCTGAGCTGAGTGGAGCTGGGTTGTAATCTTGGCTCTGCCTTGAACTTGGTGTGCTCTTGAGCAAGTCATTTTCCTTCATTGTCTTCATCTGTGAATTGAAAGGTTTGGGGAAAGAGAATGTATTTTTCGTCCAACATTAACATTTCATGACCTGATGAGTAGAATATGTGTTGAATGATTCGAGCATTATTAGTGAGTGTAGTTTCTAGTTTTCATTGATTATGTGTGTTTTTCTTTTTACTGTGAAATAATTTGAGACTTAAAGATACATTATAAAATTAGCAAAAATAATTCTTACATGTCAAATTCCCCAAATGTTAATATATATTTGCCTTATCATTTTCCCTCTACATATACACATGCCATTCTTTTTGTAAAAATTGAGTGAATTGCCTTTCACATGTAGATATTCGTTTATTTTTACTTTTTTTTTTTTTTAAGATTTATTTATTTGAAAGGCAGAGTTACAGAAAGAGGAGGGTGTATTGGAGAGAGAGGTCTTCCATATGTTGGTTCACTCTTCAGATGTTTGCAACAGTTGGGGCTGAGCCAGGCCAGAGCCAGGAGCTTCTTCCAGGTCTCCCATGTGGGTGCAGGGGCCCAAGCACTTGGGCCGTCTTCACTGCTTTCCCAGGCACATTAGCACAACTGGATTGGAAGTGGAACAGCTGGGAATCTAACCGGTGTTCCTATGGAATGCCAGCATCACAGTTGGCGGCTTAACCCTGTGAGGCGGCCCCTTCACTTGTAAATATTTAACATATATTTCTTAGATGAACATGGGTGCAGTTTACAAACCAATTTGATCATTCATCCTGTTAATGTCCTGAAGGAAAAGAAATGTTTCTGGTTCTTAATCCGGCCCAGCATCACGCAGTGACTTTAGCTGTCGTTTCTCCTCCATCCTTCTGAACAGTTCTTTAATCTTTGACAGTTTTGAAAAGTACAGGCAGTCACTCTGTGGAATGCCCCTCACAGTGTGTTCTCATGGTTAGATTCAGGTTGTGTTTTTAGCAGGACTTCCACACGGTGCTTCTCAGAGCATGTCTTAGCAGGCCCATGCTGTTTATCGCATTGCTGGTGAGAAAACTTGACTCACTTAAGGTAACATATGCCAGGTTCTTCCACTGTAAAGGTCTTATTTTTCCCTTTTGTAACTAGTAGATTTTTGTGGAGAGAAAGCTTTATGAGACAGTATAGATGTTCTGCTTGTTATATACTTTTTCACTTTGTGCTTGGTCATACATTATGTGGATGATATCTTATTTGCTCACAAGAATGCAGCAACTCTGAATGCCTGTCTAAGTGAGATAGTAGCAATAGTCAAGGTTCTACTCCTTAGCCAAGATGGACCGGTAAATATATTTTCGGACAGCAAATACTCAGTACAGGTAGCAAAGACGATCTCTTTTGCAGTCTTTAACCCAACCAATAAGCCAATTGACACAACACTTAAAGAGCTAACTGAGAACAGAAAACACCCATGGTATATCTCACACTTAAGATCATATACTGGGTTACCTGGCTTTATTTTCCAAGGCAATAGAAAGGTTGATCATCTTATCTCCTGCAACACGGCTTCCATTGGACACTTAGAACAAGCTCATATTTTACACCAAAAATTTCATATGTCAGCAAGCAACATAAAATTGCTTTTCCCAGAGCTAACAATGAGCCAATGCAAACAACTAGTGCACTCTTGCAAGAATTGTGCACCCCTCGCCTCGTCAGGCCCACTGCAACAAGCAGGAGTGAACCCGTGAGGCCTTGCTCCTAATAAGCTATGGCAAGTGGACATCACCCACATTAACTCCTTTGGTAAACTTAAGTTTGTCCATGTGGTGGTAGATACTTATTCAAAGGCTGTATTTGCAACAGCCCAATCTGGAGAAAAGGCTAGTAATGTGATAAATAAAGATGGTTAAATCAGCCATGCTGGTCCTTGGTGTCCCCTGGACCATAAAGACTGATAACGGGCCAGCGTATATATCACAGGAATTTAATTCCTTCCTGAAATCTTGGAACATACAGTCTGCCACAGGTAACCCATACAACCCACAGGGACAGGCAATCATTGAAAGAACTCATAGCACGATTAAAGATCTCTTTCAAAGAGAAAAACAGTCATATGCCCTCAGACCCACAGCTTGCTTTGACTGAGGTCCTTTTCACTATCAGTTTTCTTACTTTTGATTCCCAACGGATAAGCCCAGCTTATAAAACACTGGGGATCCTTTCCATCCCAGCCCCCAGCCCCTATGGTTAGGTGGAAAGACCCCCTGACAGGAGAATGGAAAGGACCACACCTTCTGCTAACCAAAGGTCGAGGATATGCTTGTGTCTTTCCAGAGAATGCGGAACAGCCCATTTGGGTACCAGCCAGAAACATCAAGCCTGCAACTGACAGCCAACCAGAATCAGCTGAACAAGACTGAGAATCCGCCTTGTTAGCAGACACACCTGCCCTATCATCCTACCCTGAGAAACTGCCCATAGCCATATCTGTTACTGTTTTGTACCCCACTAGCTCTAGTCAGCCACTCAAATGGCCCAACCTATGTGCGGTCATGCCATTCCTGATAACCATTATTCCTCATTCCTACCCCTATCTGAGCAAGCACTCCTGTGGTCTCTTGATTTGAGCGCTAGTTAGTCAATGACAGCTAAGATCCCCTGGGAGACAACCTAAGACAGGCACAGCTGTGTATGGAGACCACATGGAAACGGGGTCAACAATGGTAAGAATCATGCATCCCGTTGCTCAAAAATAAACGAAAAGGGGGAAATGTGGTGGAATGGGAAGGCCATGCCAAGATGGCCGCTGGCAAGCGAGCATCAGTTACTCAGGAATGGCTTTGAATCCCGCCTGGCAACAGGCTGTGATTGGATGGCTTTGAAACCCACATGGCAAATGGAGCCTGCCTGGCAACAGGCTGTGAGTGGATGGCTTTGGAAACCACATGGCAAATGGAGCCTGCCTGGCAACAGGCTGTGAGTGGATGGCTTTGGAAACTGCCTGGCAACAGGCGTGATTGGTGGGGTATAGCCTGCCCCTTGACCAGATTGGCTGGTCTTGGCTGTATAAGGTGTTGTACCAACTGAAATAAACGAGTCTGTGGGCTGCTTGCTTCAAGCCTGCTTTCACCCCACTCCCGGGGTCTGTGTGGTGACTCCGCCCCCTTGCCCCCACTAGGCTCCTCCTCTCAGAAAGGAATCCACTGCAACATTGTTGAGAAATCAACTGCAACATCTTTGGCATCCCTTGATGATCCTAGCCTTCAACAAGTAATAGTACAAAGCATAAGCATGTCATTCCAATTATGATGGTTGACAAATGGTGATTTTTCAAATGTCATCATTCTGTGTACATTTTATTCTTGGATTCTGTAAGGAAAGTCTTTTTTTATATGATATTAACTTATGGTGTCTCTAAATTTTTATTCTGTCAGGTGTTACATTTATAGATGTGCTCTTATGTGTGTCATAAGAAAGGGAATCATTGAAACCCTAGTAATTCAAAATCCACTTTAATTTGCCTTTCATTTGTGATTTGCACCTTCAGAATTACTTGGGAGCAGAACTTCCTTTAGCCTAAAGCAGGCCTGGGGACTCAGAGCGAGGAGCAGAGGAGTAGTGAATGGAAGGAAGATAAACTTGCTTGGAGTTAAAGTTTTACTAAGGACTGAGTTTCTGTGTAACGTGAAATGATTTTCATTTCAAACCCACATGGAATCCGGGAAGTTGCAGAATGTCAGATCTTGGGTTGTCCTTACTATAAAAGTGGTCTTTTGCAAAAACAAACACCTAGATTATAGTGTGCTGTTCAAAATGTGTTTGAGCGGCTCCCCAGATGGGCCTTGGGTCTTGAATATATTTAAAAGGTAACTTTTACATTTGGACACCAGATTGCTTTCTACCACAGATTGTAACCGATAAGCATACGGGTTCTATTTGTTTATTTTTTAAAGATTTATTTACTTATTTGAAAGAGTGACAGAGGGGGAGGAGAGAGGGAGATCATCCATGTGCTGATTCACTCCCCAAATGGCTGCAGCAGTCAGGGTTGGGCCAGGCTGAAGCCAGGAGCCAGGAATTCCGTCTGGGTCTCCCATGTGGGTCAGGGGCCCAAGCACTTGGCCATCTTCAGCTGCTCTCCTGGCAGGGAGCTGGGTGGGAAGCCTGCTAGCAGGACTCAAACCCGCACTTCCGTATATGGGATGCTGGTGTGGCAAGCAGTGACCTAACTCACCGTGTCACAACACCAGCCCCCAGCATGGGTTTTATTGTTTGGCAATGGTGTTGTGAAAAACAGTGTTTTGTGGAACCCCTCTGCCCTTCTGTGTATGAAAACTGGCCCCTACCCAGTCCCTCTCTAGTAGGTAC